GAAACTTTTATTAATGAAAATGCCGTTAAATTCACGCAAAATGAGAAAGTAATTAGAAACGATTTCGAAATTCAAGTTCATCTGAAACTTCATATTCATTAGCATCTTCCAGTCTGCATTAGGTCTTCTTGAGTCAATTCCAGTTAAGAATATTTTGGTCAAATAATGTTATAAACTTTTATCGATATTGTCATTCTCCATAAACATTTCTTTGTTTCTTTCGAGTATTCTCAAAGCCTTCAACACTATAAATAATTTCAACGAGATTTCGATGAATTATTTATAATGTTCAAGGTTTTCCTTCAACAGATAATGTTTCCAATCACAGCAGAGTCTTCGCGATATAAGGGAGCAATTTTAACTATTAGGTTTAAGCCTTTAATTTCGTTCCAAGGATCAAAGTAATGTGTTTTTTCCAAATAATTCCAAAGAAAGTAGAAATATAACTACGAAAATTTTTTTTTCTAATAAGGTCAAGACAGAGTACATTATAACAGTGTCTCATAACCGTCTATGGGCTGCTCCACGGTCTAGATGTGTTGCTCTCTGGTACACAGTCGGACAGTATTTTGCAAGACGAGATATAGGTAATCTAGACATACGTTGCCAGGAATTTAATATATTATCAATGCATTGCGTGACAGAATCTCGTAACCGATTTTTCTGAAAGATATCCTTTCATTCTATGTTTCTCCATTTTTACAGTTAGTAAGCTATACAGAATGGTTACATACTGCTAGGACAATTTCCTTTGCCATTTACTTCATGTTTAAAATGTAAGGATTATTTTTAAGTGTTCGATTTAAAATCTTTTTTTTTTTTCCTCTCTCCTGAACGATAAATATCGTCATTCCAAAGACAGAGAGGCTGTTCGCAAAATTTCCAGCGGTATTGATTGCCATTCCTCTTCCATTACTTTCCAGAGTCCATTCATCGTGGTGTGCTTGCTCTTAGAAAGAACTTTTTTTGAGAGATTAAAGCCTCAATAGTTCATAGGTGTAAGATGTCAGGTAACTTTGCAGGAATATGTTGAAAATGCATATATGCAATACATTTTTTTCAGAGAATATAGAGGTACTTTACGATATACTGTGGGTAAAAAAAGTATTTGCACACCTACATTTTTTGTTGCTTTCTAAAATAAGCATTAAGAAATAAAAATTGGTATTGCAAATCAAAAGCTTAATATCCAAAAAACAAAAATACAAAATTAAAACAATGCTTTTTGTAATAAAATTAAATACCTCGTATCAAAAAGTATTGAACATGCATGAACAAAAGACTAAAATATAAAGCAAATTCAAATAACTAATGTTAGTATGCTTCCTTTGCATATCTTACTGCTGTAATATGCTGGCATTAATTTAATTAAATTTTCTGTAACAGTAGGGTCAATATTCGACCACTCTTCAATAAGGGCTTGTTTAAGGGTAGATTTGCTTGAAATCTTCCTTTTTACTTATTTTTAAATTCAAAGAATTCCACAAATTGTCCAAAGGATTTAAGTCTGGTGATTGGGGTGGAGTGGCAAGTTTTCTGGTTACATTATAAAGCAACCACATACGTGTTATACCGGCGGTGTGCTTGGGATTATTGTCTTGCTGAAAATAGTACGAATTACAGATACACAATTTTATTGCACTTTGTGGCAAGTTATCTCGCAAAACATCAATGGTTCGAGCGGTCTATTCCACAATAAACACGATTCCAACTCTTTCTAGCAAGCACCAAAATCATAACGAACCTCCTCCATGTTAATGTGGTAACCTATTTTGTATGAAAAGCAGTAAAGGTTTTCTCCAACTGTTTATGCCATCGATTTAAAGAGATTGAACTTACTCTCGTCGGAATATGACATTTTCCAGAAATGAATTGGCTTATTGATAAATTTCTTAGCGATTCAAGTCTCTTCAGTCTATTTCGTTCAGTTATGAGAAGTTTGTACTTGGAGATCTCTAAAAATGTGGTCAGGACATTTCGAACACTTTGGGCAAGTTTGAACTCCAGATGGGAAGCGACATCATTGGTCAAGTAAGCACTAAAAGGGATTTTTGATGCTTCTTTTATTTTTTCTTCAACAGTGAAAGTTTCTTTGGGCGTCCGAGCGCAAGTTATTGATGTAGATCTTTCTTTATGACGTTTTATAACATACCGAACAGTAGAAAGCAACATTTTTTTTATCTATTTCTCGAGAACTTAGGCCTTTCACGTAGAGAACAATTTTCTCGCAACGAAATCGGCAATTAAGATTTCTTAGTGCCTTACAATTGAAATCGACAACACTGATAACGTTTCGACAACCCTAGTCGTCTTACGTATGTTTTTACTGCGGGATGACGTCAAATAATGCATAAAAATGCAATTTGTAAAGTGAGTTGAGTGTGCCAAATACTTTTTGGCATAAGAATTTAATATGTTTCAAAAAATGTTTTTTATTAATTTATTTGCATTTTTGTAATAAATTTAAATGAATAAGCTTATTCGTTTTTAAATGCCAATTTTGTATTTCTTAATGCATTTTCTTATAAATTGTGAACAAAAATGTAGTGTGCAAATACTTTTGTACCCCTGACTTATGTCTTGATTCACTTTTTTAAATCAAGGGATCAAGAATGTTTTTTTTTTTTTTTTTTTTTTTTTTTGAATATTGGGCGTAAAACTTTCTTGGTAGTACGTTGAATTGATTTTTAACATTCCCCCCCCCAATCTTCTTAATTGTAAATTTCCGTTCTAAGAGAATCCTTTGACAATCATAAAACATTATAGTAATCATAAATTCATCAAGGAATAACAGAATTAAATAAAGTGTTTATGCATTTTTAGAACGATTTTGGCCCTATTTAATTAACATTTAAAAATGTAAATAGTATTTTTTTAAATGTTTGATTCGATAGTCATTTTTCTTGACTCTACTATAAATTTGCATCGTGATTTCCATGCTGGAAGGAATTCTGATGAAATTTCAAGGATGTTGATATCCATCCATCGTGGTGGATTCCCGAAAAGGTATGCATGCAATACCTGTATCAGTTTTCATTTTTTCAAGAAATGCAGGGTTACTTTTCGAAGTATTATTTAGGTTTGATGAAGTTTCGGTCTTTGACAGTCATTGGGATGGAATTTCTTCTTTAAATATTGGACATAAAATATTTTCTCGTTAGTACGTAGAGTTGATTTTAACATTTTTTTCTCACTCTTCTTATTTTTAAAATCCCTTTGCAAGAGAATCCTGCGACAATAATAAACCGTTACTGAAACTTACTTTGCATTAACGGAACCAGACTCGTACTTTTTCTTTCTCTTCGTTTTCAGTAATAAATAGACTTTTATTTTTGTGTGTGTGTATTCAAATACACCCATGTAGTCATGTTGTATTTCCATTTGTTTCCTGCTAAACAGTTTTCAGTTTTCATAGAGGTTTATACAAAATGTTCTGCGTTGAGCCACATGTCTAGTTTTGATGAAGCTCAAAAGCTGGTCAACATTACTTTTTTTAGCTTTTTAAATTAGTTTTCTTTTTTAATTATTGTTGCAACAGTTTTATTTAAAAGTTATCCAACTGATTTCTACTTCGGCAGATTTTCTGTTCTTAGCAACGATTTAACTTTAGAAACAATACGTACGTTTTTCGGGTATTTATTCGTTTGGAGTCTTCTTTCCATACAGAAGTAAAAATTGACTGTTCTTCCCATTCTGATTAATAATGCTGTACAAATTCTAATAGCTGCTTTCACTATCATTAAGAATCTTTATGCATGGTATTTTCCTCATCTGTGAAAACATGCTGGCTCCTGAAGCCACCGAATTTTGGCTTCCGAATTTGGTTTTGATTTATTTCGTGTTTTTATAAAATTTAACGATCTTTAGTTTAACAAACTCAGCGATTTGAAAGCGAAAAGTGGCAACACTGTTCGAAATAAAACATGTTTATCTGTTGCATTCTGTTGTCGTTTGGCAAAAGGTAAGATATGAATTTTAATACATAAATTTGGCTATCTGAAAGCAATGTGTTGCCATTGCCTCAAACAGAATACATACTATTATCTCCAAGCATGTTACCATCCAGTCAAGACTAAAATATTTAATTTCTCTTTGAAATATAATTTGTTTCCGCCCGAACATGTGCGTCTCTCCCGAATTTTGAATTTCGAATTCGGTTTTTATTTGATTTCAAATTTTGTGCGATTAAATTTTCATTGAAAACTCAACGATGTAAAAGAATTGTATTGCCATTCTGCAAAGCTTAAAATATTTTTTCGTCTTTCGATTTTAATCAACGAACTCAAAGATTTAACAGAAATGTATGATCAGTAATTCATATTTTAAAATATGAAGTGTGATGAAACCAAGATTTAGGTTAAGTTATTTAAGTATGGAATAGTAAACAAAAGCTATCTGCTTAAGAGCAAGGATCACTTTGTGGAAAATTGTGTATTGCGAAAGCCAATCGTGTAGTTAGCCCATTCGCAAGAATTTGACTTCTGGTAGAACAACCAGCATTCAGTGACATTTACCCCTCGGCCACTGATGAGGAAACTGAAAAAAGGCGAAAAACTTCTTTAATAGTTGCGCATGTTAATTCTATTATCTAAAATTCAATATTCAATATTTTACACTTTTTTGAAAGGTAATCCTTTTTCCATTTTTATTATCATACTGAATATAGCGAAATACTCACATAACTAACCAAACTTGCTGTCCTTTGAAAGCGCATCGTAGCAGTGTTTGATAGTATTTCAAATTTCAAGAATGTTGCTAGCAGTGGGATGCTCCGATTGATTTCTTTTTCATCAAATGTCATTTACGTTCTATTATGACAGAACTGCTGTTATTTTCTGATCATTTCATAAAAGCACATATTTTACGGCTTCGTTTCTCTACTCAGCATACAAAATGTGCAGTTTCGGATTATATTATAACTGTTTTAAATTGTATTTAATTATTTATAGCTGTAGAGTAAGCTTTTGCACTTAATAAATTTATATATTCTTTTTTCACAGCCGAGGAGAACTCAGTACATGTTGGTTTATACTCCTGTCTGGATCTGTCTTCATCGATGGCTCCATGTATCTTCCTCGCAGCAGGTAAGACTTTTCAAGTATTTTAAGAATTTCAGTTGCTGTATTTAAAGAATTATCAAGCTGGGAAAGATTTATTCCTATGTTGGAATAAAAATCTTGGTAATACAACATTTATGTCCACATTTGATTCAATTTGGAATCACTAAAGTATTTTTAAATAGTTTATTCTTTAAGTCACTTAATTAAAAATTTTTCTAATTAGTTTAATACTCTCTACAGAACAACCACAGATGTATGAACTTAATGAAGCAATAGACTTAAATTCTTGTGTAGTGTGAGAGTGCTCTGCCAGCCGCCCATAATACCAGTGTAAATATTTCTTACATCAGTGCAGTCACTGAGAGAGTTTTAGCTGTAATAGTTCAAAGATATACAATCATAATATGAGAGATACTAACAACAAGAGTCAGCGTAAGTTGCATAAATTTGCCGGAATAGTTTCGCAGTGTGAGCAGAACCTTCTTCAGTTGCAGGAGCAAAAATGACGAAAGAGAAACCTGCGCTCACGAGATAATAATAGATCAAAAAATTCGAGGGAGTTTTAATTAAGGAAAGAAAGCTACTCGCGCCGTCTATTGATAAAAAGTGAAAGCTATTGTGAAACGATTTCCCCAAAAGCTGAAGATAAAGTAAGATTAGAATTGGGATCATTAATTAAAACTGAAAAATTTTAATGAATTCTAAACGCCTTTAGGAAGCCAACAATTTTTGAATAATTCTGGTAGCGGAGATATTCAAAATGTGATTTATTGACTGATAGTGTTGGGCATTAATGGATTTATATGTTTGTTTTTTTTTCCTACCATATATCTCAAAGTTCCTTACAGCGAAGTTTTAAGGCTCTCTTAGTTCGGCGAGTGCATATTAAGCCACACTAGCAAAGAATACTGTATATAACTCGTTAGCTCACTTCCGGAATAGGATTTTAAGTATGGAACTATGAATTTTATTAGTAGGACACGAAAGTTTTCTTTCAAATCTGTGCACTTTTGTTGCTAATCTATGGAAAGAAAAGAATATATGCTGAATTCTTATAATCTCTCTAAAAGAAAGAATGCTTTTGTTTATACTGAAATAAAAAATTTTTAACCGCTTAGACGACTTGAAAGTCTATGTCAGTTATAACTGCAGTTAAATACAATAATGTATATCAACTAATTAAGTTAAGTAATTAAACATTCAGGATTAAAATACCTTTCAACGCCAACGAAATGTGTTTAATTCGCGGAGAAATTCCACACACTATTTAATGGTATGGTTACTATTATGAAGTGGCTTACTAATGCTTATCACCCTGTTTCATTGCGAGCCGTTTTTGAGAAGAGCATACGCTAATTTAGGTTAAAATGGCACGCCGAATAATAACTGTTGGAGAAAATAAACAACAAGAATTAACGTAACGTTTGTAAATTTTTTGCAGGACTAGTTTCGATGGTTTAAATACAGAACCGGAATGAAGAAGATGGTTCTGTATTTAAACCATCAAAACTAGTCCCACAAAATTTACAAATGTTACGCTGATTTTTGTTGCTTAAATTCTCCAACATACGTTAATGTGCAAATTAATTGGGACAGTGTGATTTTTTTCACAGAATTTTTTTGCCAGCTGACGCCAGCAGGCCTCTCAAAACAATTTTATCTGCCTTAATGGCCTCTGGATGCCTGATTTCTACTAATTAGAATTGGTTTAGACAGTAAATTAGAATTCTTGAACCATTTTTAAAACTTGTGTCTGTGAAAAAACTTTTTAAATATGTTTTCCATTTGTTCATTTTAGCTTATTAAAAATGGATATAATGCGTTAGAAAGGGAGAAAAGATTATTTTTGACCGCAAGAAACATTACTTCCGCGGTTGGTGTTGGGCAATGAGAGTTTCTCAAATTCTAAAGAAACACAATGAAACTGCATCATTTTCTCCAGAAAGAAAGAGCAAACGTGGAAAGAAAAGGGAAAAACTCAAAATCTGATTGATTCCTACTCTGAAATAGCATTATTGGTCTAACAAAAACTGGCATACACATAAAAATATATCTATTATCTATTGGTATTGATATCCATCCTTCAAACATGCGACGTAGCCTTCTCACTGCTGGTCGGAAGGCGAGAAAGTCAATTAAGAAACAACTTTTGACACGTCACACAAACACGCAAAGCTTTATTAACTTCAGAACAATTCGTCTGCACAGAACACAAAGCTTTGCTAATATTATGTTTTACTTTGGAGCGTTCCTCTTCTGTCCTTTTTTTTTTAAATATATATTAAAATAAGGTAAATTTCTGTCCATTGCCTAAAAGTAAATATTTAAGATAACTTTTTTCAAACAAAATCTTTTACTATATTACATATTTCATGCATTTTTTTTAGTGACACAAAATATGTTTTATGCATCGTTTATTACGCTTTCAAACAACCATAATGCATCTGCAAGTTTAAAAAAGTGCCTGGGTTTGTATTTCTACTATTTCCGGTTCTGGACGAGTTCTGGTTGCTGGCATTTTGAACAAGATGGAAACACCAGTAACGTTTACTGTTTCGTTATCAACCAACTTCTTAAAATCGGCACCAAAAGGCTTTCTGGAAAAAATGTGTTTGTTTATGCTTTAATTACGAACTCGAGCTTGTCGGGCAGGATTTTATTCTGTCGCTCGTGCTCGTATTTCTGAGATTAGACCCTGACCCATTTCGGCCTTCGAATGGACGCCGTTTCTCGACAGACCTTCAAGAGACTTGGAAGTATTGTGAGTGAATAATTCATTCAGAAATCTTGGATGTGAAAGGCTAGACGACAGCAGTGTGGCATTACGATAACACGCTTTCATAAAAAGCAACATAAACATTCCTTTATGTAGTTATGACGTAAGACCGTACCGTTTTAACCGAAAGCCGCCTTCTTTCTCTCTTTTTCTCTCATATATAAAGGATTTTGATCAAATTATGCTATATATTCCTTATTAATAGATTCCTTATTAAATCAAATAAAAATACATTAACTAGCTTGGCAGTATAGCCTAAAATAGCTGTAATTTAAAAATCTGAGCCTAACGTGCTTACAGCGCAAAGGGACTATCTTACTAACAAATAGATACAGTATTTCTCTTAAAAGATTTAATACATATGTAGTCGCAAAATAATGCTTACCCTTAAAATTAGTAAAGCAAACCTTCTGTTTGGCGTATATTGTGGTTAAGGCTCTGGATTTCGAGGGCAAAAAGATACAGGTCCCTCTTCATCAGAATCAAATGAATCCGCAATGACGAGAAAGCCACGGTTGTATTTATACCCAAAAGGAATAAAGCAAACGAGAAGGTAGGGCCATATATCGGCAGAAATAGTAACGAAAATAAACAAATTAAGTTAATAGAATTTTAAAAGTGTTAACTGACTGAAATTAATGTCATTAATCAAACAAGATAAATCTTTGTGAATGTGAAAATCTTCAACAAAATCAAATTCTAGTGTGATTTGAGATATATCGGTAAAACTAAAAGCGCGTTGAAGTTTCGCATCAAGGAGCACGAATCTTACGTCCAAATTTTAGATAGCTAATCATATTTGGAAATTTAATCACAATTTATACTTCAAGAAGCTTATTGAATAATTTTAGCAGACCTTCCAAAAACTTTCTTCCATTGATGAATTGGATTTTGTTACGTTGCTAATTTTGTATTTTACTTTGGCGTAATTTTATGTTTTATTTATATTCTTTGTTGCTCTTTAAACATTAATACGAAGACTACCATAACAAGTATTGAGATATTTGATATACGCATGTAGTCTCACTGTTTTAAGTGGCATACACTAAGCCAAGACTCTGGAAATTAGCATTATGTCTAGTTAACCAACAGATACGAGAGAAAAGGTATAAAAGGTTCTTTTATGAAGAACTCAACATAGTTGAACAGAACGCATTTCTTGTACTTACAAAACCAGACAACATTTGTGACGTAACTCAAAAGCAAGAATTTAAAATTTTAAATTAAAACTGAGTCGTGAATTAGCCAAATGCTACTCGGGTATTATTAACTGGCAGATTGGCTCAAACCTATACCGACGAGACAAGCACTATTGGCAAGGACGAAGCAACGCCGAAGACAGACTGCTATCGTAGAATTTTAGCTAGTAACGTGGACTTCACTGGTGGAACACGCTCTGTCTAAACAATTTACCTCCCTTTAAATACTGTGTCTTTCTACCTCATTTAAATATGCGTTTTGGCAGGAAAACAGAAACAGAGAACTGACAGTAAAGACGCGTAACGTAAAATAAACTGGTTAATTAAAATAAATACTTTACTCGTGTTTATATTGACAAATATTGAACAGAACGCATCCTTTGCAACGTTACAGAATAGATATGTTATGATTTAAACGAAAGCGGATGCATAAGTAGTATCAATCACATGTCTTATTCTATCCCGCGTCCGTGGCTTTATGGAGTGGATATTCAAAGTCTGTAACCGTTCTCACACTTCAGCCATTGTTGTTCCGTTGTTGCTCTATCATATTTTCTTTGGATACCACACGCTCAACGTACGCATGGCAGCTTCGAACACAAAATGTCGACTTTAAATATTTTAAATGTTTCTCTCTTTTTTATATTCAAAAAGTGTAAACATTCCAGGGTATTTCAGATTGAATGGGTAAAAAAGAATAGCATAGTACAAATTCTGTAATTGATTTATGAAGCCTTACAAATTAATTCTGAAATTACAACTGTAAAAGTTTCATCTGGCAATAGCGAAAAATCAGCCGGTTACGAAATCACCGCTGGAGGCACTGTTAATCAAAATGGCGCCATCCATGCAGAAGAAAGAGTACTGTTTTTCATCGTTCAAAGATATTTTTATACGAAATTTGGTAAAGAACCACCGCATTATCCCAGTATCGAACGGTGGGTAAAGAAGTTTTAGGATACGGTCTACTTGTATAAGACAACCAGCCCAAAACTAATAGCAGCGCAAACTAAAATGGTTGAAAAAAATTCGTGTAAAGTATTTACGAA